TCTCCGCGTTGACGTTCTCTGTGCTGTTCTCCATGCATGCGCAAAGGTTAGTTAATGCTGCTGCTGCTGCGTGTGTATATTTATAATATTTTTTTTATTTAGGTTCGTTATAGAGATACGATATTTTTATTTTATGCATTTAAGCGGCTAGAAGAATCAGCAAATGAACTGCCGCCGCCTTTAGCAGCGAAAGCAATCGAAGCTGCAGGTACACCCCACGGTGTATAGGCACCTTTTTTCTTTTTTTTTTTTTCTTTTCTCCTGCTGCTGCTGCTGCTGCTGCTGCTGCTGCTGCTGCTGATGCTGCTGCTGCTGCTTGTCTTCTTCTTCTCGCTTTTTGTCTCCTACTCCTATTCGTATTGCTGCTGATGCTGCTGCTGCTGATGGTGATGATGATGCTGCTGCTGATGTTGCTGCTGCTGCTGCTGCTGCTGCTGCTGCTGCTGCTGGTGCCATCTGTTTAACTGCAGCAGCAACAATAATAAATAAACAATAAATAATATTCATTTATTGAGGACGTCAACTACAATAAAATAATAAAATAAAATAAAATGAAATAATAAAATAAAATAAAATAAAATAAAATGAAATAAAACAAAATAAAATAAAATAAAAACAAAATAAAATAAAATAAAATAAAATAAAATAAAATAAAATAAAATAAAACAAAATAAATAAAATAAAATAAAATAAAATAAAATAAAATAAAATTAATTTTTGTTTGTGTTTGCAGCTGACCTTGATATGAAGGGTTTATCATTTGCTGCCTTATGGGGCCGCGTCTGCCAGGCGCTGCAGCAGCAGCAGCAGCAGCAGCAGCAGCAGCAGCAGCAGCAGCTGTTGCATGCATCGCTGCTGCCTGCTGCGCTGCAGCTGCTTGAAGGCCCCGTGCTGCAGCAGCAGCTGCTGCATGCGTGGGCGCATGCATTGGCCCTGAGGAGAAAAAAATTAAACAAAACTACAAAAAAACATATCATCAAGTTAGTTCTGCTGCTGCTGCTGCTGCTGCTGTTGCTGTTGCTGTTGCTGCTGAGGCTGCTGGTGTGGCGCTGCTGCTGTTGCTGTTGCTGTTGCTGTTGCTGCTGCTGCTGAGGCTGCTGATGCTGCTGCTGCAGCTTGTATATCTGTATCCTGCTGCTGCTACTGCTACTACTACTACTACTACTACTACTGCTGCTACTGCTGCTGCTGCTGCTGCTGCTGCTGCTGCTGCTGCTGCAGGAAGCACCGGTTGATGGTGCTTGCTGCTGTGACTGGCGTCCTCAGCAGCCCCGGGCTGCCGCTGCAGCTGTGTAGAGAAATGAAGGCAGCAGAAGAAGAAGTATAAATATATAAATAAATATATAAATATATAAATATATAAATATATAAATATATAAATATATAAATATATGAATATATAAATATATAAATATATAAATATATAAATATATAAATATATAAATAAATTAAATATATAATGACGTGTTTGGTTGGTGTGTTTATTTTATTTTATTTTATTTTATTTTTGCTTTTTCTTTATTTTCTTCATTTTATTTTATTTTATTTTGGTTATCTGTTGTATATTACATTTAGTTTTTATGTATTTATTTCTCGTGCATCTATTTTATATTTATTTATATATTAACTGTTACTATCATTTATTTGTTTATTCTTATTATTTTATTTGTTTATTTTTGTTTATTTCATAAACACACACACATATATATATATATATATATATATATATATATATATATATATATATATATATATATATATATGTATATATACATTAATATATTTACATATTTACATAGTTATTTATGTATTTATATATTTATATATACATTTATATATTTATATATTTATATATATATTTATTTTTTTTTTTTCTGCAGGAGGGTTGGCGTGTTGGCTACAGCAGCCCGGAGAGCAGCAGTTTTCACTTAGAGGTAGCAGCAGCTTTGGGCGGTATTTCTTTTTATAGAGAAGCAAAAGCAGGGGCTTTTCTTGTCGATATAATAATTAAAAAAAAAGAGAATATGAATATATATATTAAAAAAAAAGAAAATATAAATATATATACACAACCGTCTAGCCTGCACTGCAGCTACAATACAAGCTCTCTATCGCACACAAAAAAAAACCAAGCTCCTGCTGCTCCTGCTGCTCCTGCTGCTGCTGCTGCTGCTGCTGCTGTTCCTCCTCTACATCATAGAGGAGAACCGCTGCAGCAAATGCCGTGGGATCGGTCTGTACGCAGAGAAAGAGAAATTCTTTTTGC